TTTAATTTGAGCTATTTTACATCAGCAAGAAAATTAAATTTTACGTTTATTGTAACATTTTCCATTTTATTCTACATTTTGACTGACTTCAAAAAGAGGTGTTCCTCTATGCTGTGTTATGTATGGTCCTTTTTTAACGAATATGTTATACCTTAAGATTGTGTTTTCAGCCCTTTTCAACGTCCCACTGCTGGGCACTGGCCTCCCTACAATATCAGGTCATAGCCCACCACACTGGCCAAGTGAGGATTTCACATGTCTTTAGAAAACTGGCTAGGTTCTCTCAGACATGCTGATGCTTATGATGTGTTCCTTCAACGTAAACAAACGGTAATCATGTTGGAAATGATTCGCACATGAAAACATCAGATTTGCGAGACGTTTTTTACTGACTGATTTTCCAAGTGAAACGCGTCACTACTGTGCTACCACTGATTCGTCGCATATAAATTTCATAAAAAAAATACACTTACGGTGGATAGAATTGCTTTTAGGTCGCCCTTTTTTGTTAAAAAGTATTTTTTTAAAGTTATAAAAATGGCTGTACGTTTAATTTTTTGCTTCGCCCTGATATAAAGCCTGAATAGCTTGTCACGTAAGTTGGACGTGTTCCAATATTTTAATCTGACAAATATTGCTATGTAATGTGCACAGATAACATTTTTCTTGCAAAATCTATCACAAAAATATTCATAGGCCTAATTTTTAAAATTAAGTAACCTACAAGGGGCCGTACCAACGAAAACATACTTTATTTAAATAGTTTTTGAATATAGGCATTTAAATGAAATGTACGTATAGTAAGTCCATGACATATACATAGCTATCATCGGCTCAAAGTGCTGAGTCCAAACAGTTACAAAAAGGAATTTAAATTAATATTTGTGCAATGTAGTAACTATCTGGTATCCATAACACAAGCCTCGTAGCTTACCACGGAACTAGATGGTGTTGTGTGTTAGTGTCCCAACACATAAGGTATAAGGATTCCAAAATTTAAAGTAAACTAGAATTTCGGATTAACTGATTGCGACCTGGCAGGTAGTTATTCGAAGGATTATCATTTCCAAGCAAAACTATCCATTAGAGTTTCTGAACAAACTGAATGTTTAGAATATTACGTATTATGGGACTATAACCCAGTAACTAAAATACCACAAATCTTTGCGAATTTGATGTCTATATCGGTCATTTCACTAATTTAAATTTGCTGCCCTATAATTTTAATGAATAATAGTGTATAAGGGACGATCTAAAGAACTATTTATACGTGGAAAATGGTAGGATCGTCTTACAGTTGGTTGACTAACGCAATTAGCTATGTACACTGCGTCGGGCTATGCACCTGAATGATCTAGTTTTATTTTCTTTTTACTGCAAAAGATTTATATAAAATTTATATAAAAGATACCTATATATAACTAACTTCGTATGCATTTTTCAGTTATCTTTATAGCATACTAACCTACTATATCTACATTATAGGAAATTTTATGTACGAGATAATGTTCCGTCGAAATCTTGTACTGGGGTGGATGATATCATAGTATATTAATATACTGCATAATATATCGCACTCTTCCTATAACCGCCTCGGTGGTCTAGTAGCTAGCATGTACGGCTGCAGATCCGCATCTCCTGGGTTCGAATGCCGGGTTGAGCCAAGTTTAATTACTAAGTTTTCTGTTAAGATTTTCTCAGTAGTAAACCGGAGTAGGGAAGTTGACGGTGATACATCCCCATACTTTGGAAAGCACGTAAAGCCGGCGGTCCTGCGTCTTAACTCACCGGTCGTGTCGACGTATCGGCCCATCGAACTTTGAGAGTGACAGGAAAAAGGAGTGCACGTTGTGTCTGCGCGTACACTTGTGCACTATAATATCTCCTGCGCAGTTGGCTAGTCTCAATGAGATTGGCTGACGTGGCCGTAACCGGTCAGGAGGACATTATTAGTATTATATATATATATAATACTCTACAGGTTGTTAACTATCTCAAAGCAATTAATAAGCTGTTTCCATATTTTTTTATCAATACATATAATAAAATTTTAACTATGCCGAATCTGTACATTAAATATTTATTTGAAAATATTATTGAAAGACATTATTATCGATACAGAGGCCGAATCTATAGTTTTTAGAATTTTCATCTGTCTTATCTTTTTGTGACCACATCACAGCAAAACCACTGGAGGGTCTTCGATGAAATTTGGTATGACAATATCTGGTTATCCGAGTCAACATATAGGATACTTTTTACTACGGGAAAATATCTCATCTCTGAGAAATCTATATTAAATGTTAAAACGCAAGAAGGGACAAACCCGAGCGGAGCGATATAGCTACCAAAAAAAAAGAAAATCGTTGACAAACAGAGAGACAAAGGTAATGAAATGTTTTGTCTTTGCCTGTTAGTATATATGTAGACTAGCGACTCACATCGCTCATCTAGTTATCAGGGTTTACATAAAGGATACTTTTCACTGGGGTAATATCTTATTTCTGAGAAATCTATACTAAACTTTAAAATGTTAAAACAATTTTAAATAAAACTGTCTTTTCGGATTATTTCGCGGTTTTATTTTGATTTTTGGTTCCCGACGTTTCGAATGCTTTACAGCATCCATGGTCACGGGAGAGTCTCTCCAAGTTTTATTTAAAATGTCAAATATTCGCGTAAATCTAAGAAAGTATTATGTTAAAACAAGGGACGAACCCAAGCGGGACGAGGGTGAATGGCTAGTTATAGTAAATATGTAATATGTATAGCCGCTAGTTACCTACAAACATATAGGTTTTAAGAATTCCCAACACTGTAGTTAAAAATGTACAATGTAGGAAACACGTAAAATATAAAAGATCTTATCAGAAAATTACTTTTTGAAAATCTTGTGCAAATACCTGCGATGTCTATTGTCAGTATCTACGGCAGTAGCTATGCTTTCTATAGAAAAAAAATGTTTTCTAGCACACTAGCATACGACCCAGCCTCGTTTCACTAGTAATTTTTGTTATATAATAAAAATTAGTTAAAATAAATCAGTTATAAAATAAATCAGTTAGTTTGAACGCGTTAATCTCAGGAACTACTAATCGGATTTAAAAAAATATTTTTTCATTAGACAGCCCGTTTTTGAGAAAGTTAATATATTGTGTATTAAATAGTCTATAATCGTACCTAGGGATGAACTCGAGCGAAGCGACGGTGAGTCGCGAGTAACTCGAGAATCAACGTTCCGGAAATATAGTATTCCGGTGTTATGATACTTTCAAGTAATTTATATCATTATTATAAAGATTTTTTTTAAATCACGTTCCCTGGTTACTCGGCTACTTGAAGAACAAACTGAACCTCACACTCTGGCGTTTATAATACAAATTTAATATATTTGCCTCGTAGAAGCATCCATATCAGACGCAACATGTAATGTATGAAGTGTAAAGAAGCTTATTGAATATATATAAATAAAAATGAATCACCGAAATGTATGTACGCGCATAACTTCCGAACGACTGCACCAAATTGGATAATTCTTTTTTTTTGTGTTTGTTATTGTCAGGACAAGTTTTGTATAGAAGAAAATTAAAAGAATATTTTTTGTAACTAAAATAAGATTTTTTTAAATCTCATGATATGAAAAGTGAGTGAGTAAAATAGTTTTTATACCGGAAATCATCCCTTAAGGGGGTGAGAATGGGGATGAAAGTTTGTATGGGGAAGCAAGCTAGGGACGAACCCGAGCGAAACGAGGGTGAGTCGCTAGTTTAATATATTTTATAAGTATATATGTAAAATGTCGAGTATCTCGGAAACGGCTCTAATCATTTGGATAAAATTTTGTATTTAAATAAAGTTTGTATTTTCTGAAAAAATGGAATTATTTTTTTACTCTCCGAAAAACGCCGAGAGTGCCTTGGTCACCCAGGTACTATTTCATAAGTATACTCGTACTAATATGTATATATAAAAGATGAGTGTATATTTGAACGCGTTAATACCTAGAGTCTAGAATAACAAGTTACAAGTCTAATAAAAGGAAGTATTTTTGCATTTTATTTAGTGATAAAACGAGATTATAGGTTCAATAGCATCTCATCATCACGAAGATTTTTCGGGTGGAGCAATGATACAAAAAGGGCAAAAAAATATTTTTTTATAAATAAGTTACGATTTTTTTTATATATTTTTTGGAAGAACACAATTAGACTGTTAAAGCACATGAAATTTAATTGAAAATTAGGTTAACTATTGCAGTCTTCATATCAGATATTAGTTTATTTATATGGAGTCTAAATATGTAGACTGTATGTGACAAAACTTGAAGGAATACTATATAAGATTGCCATTCCAAAAGTACTTTAGATGGTATTAACAAAACAATACCACCACAGGGAATTAAGAATTCCCAAAGTACACTGTGAAGTATAACGGTAGAAATAATAAAACTATAATAAATTCAAAATGTATTTCTCAAACTATAAACTTAATGAAATAGGTATATATTGTTCAAAATTTTTCTGAACTAAACTATGTATAAAATGTTATAAAAAAATATTTTTTTTTAACACAGTTAATGAATGAAAGTACATCATAAACAAATATTTGCTTTACAATTTATTTTGGTAAAAATACACATTAATATTTTTTGTGTATAAACAATTGCTATTGAATTGAATTTATTTGTTCAGTTCAATTCAATTCTTGTTGGTGGCTTCAAAATGTGCCCGAATTTATTTGTTAATCTAGCCATTTATTAGAAATGACAGTTAATAGACATAGTTGACAATTATAGTTGAATAAACAATACTAGTTAATGGAACAACAGTCGACACTTGTCATTTCTAAACCGAGTTAGAATAGGATGGTTATATGAAATAACATACTCTCTATAAACTATATTTTACAGCAAAATATTACAACAAAACATAATTTCCTACAAATACCATTCAAACATTAACTATGGAAAACAAAACAAAATCATATATTCAGCGTCTTACCTCAACAGAGCAGTTTCTTCAGAATTGGCAGGCATTTTTGCCGGGATATGGTTTGACTTCTTTAAACTCGTCTCTCTGAAATAGCGCAGTAAGATATACAAAATACATACTATATTAAAAAAACAAACCAAGCCTATAAAATTAAAAGAAAAAAAATCTAATAGTGCTACCATTACATTTAAGAGTTAATTTCAACCAAGCCAAGAAGTGCATTAAAGGTTAAATAAATAAAATATATATGAGTGCATCTACTTATTGTTTTATAGTGATGTGCATTTTCTTTACATACTGGTTGAAAAGGGGTTCTAGACGCCGTCTAGCTTTCCCCCTGAAGCGTACTATTCTCTGGACATTCTTTTCATTCACTAATGGTATAGTTTGAAAACCCTGGTCAAGGGATGTGTAAGAACCTCCATTAACCCAGTCTCGATCCATCATCCAACTTAGCATTGCATTAAAAACAAAAAATTAATAATACAAACATAATAAAAGTAGTGCAGTTTAGTTAGAGAAATTAAAATAATAAAGTGCTACACTGACGTAAAGTTTGAATATCCCTCCAAAATTAGTAAGTTACGTGAACAAGTCGCTCGCCATGCAAGTTAAAAAGGCAGTTAAAAAATTTAAATTAGTTTTTAAAGGACTTTAGGATGACTTACCGAAACTTTGAAGAAGTTTGGGAGTCAGTTATAGAGTCCGACGGCAGCTTACGATGTTCGAAAGTGCACTGTGCAATTAGACACTTAACCGAATGCGAGTCCCGATGACAAGTGCCAAAGAAATTCTTCGCCTGCACGAACCTCGACCAGCAGTTGTGGCTCACTTCTCGCCGTATAAAAGACGCATGCGCGTACAAATATGTCAATTATTCAATTTAAACCCGGGAAGTTATAATGTTTTACCACAATTACACCAGAAATAACAGTTCATACACTTAGCTACCATTTAGTTTTTACCAACAAACAATAATAAATGAAAGACGAAACTATTAACATTGCTTTATTATTCTGTTTATGTCATCTTAAACAACAAAATAAACTGTTCTTGATACCGTAACACATTTTGCCTCGATAGCCAATTTTCAATTTTCTAAAAAATTTAAATAGTATCTAAATATAAATATTGTAAAGATAGTTATTAGTTAACTTCAAAGTTCAAAACATTGTTTCGTATTTGCCAAAGTTGAACTTCAAAATATAAAGTTAGTGTTGCCACTATTTTTACTGAAGATTTTTCTTGTATGCACCGAACCCTCATCTTTTGTTTAAATTGAATCGTTTTTTTAAAACAATAAAAAGGCTTTTTTTGTATTAAATTGTTAAAAATTCTTTATAATTAGTACACATATACATATAATAATAGTTAAAATTAATATTTTATTTTATGATAGATTAAATTACTTTGAGCAATAAAATATATTCAAAATAAAAATAGAAATAAACTTACTTACAAAGCGTTAATATTAATAGGATGATATTATATATTTGTTATTTATTACAAGATATATAAGATATTTTGAGACTAGTAACGCCATCCAGTGTAAATATGTTAACAATGTTAATGTTACATCAGCTTACAAGTTTGTGGGCTCGTATTTGAAATGAAGAAGTTCGTACAAATAAGCTTAGATGGCGTTTATGTATTAATTATTTTAATATAAAATAAAATTTATTGCCAAAGCTTATTCTGTGTAATTCTAAAAACTCTGAATTTGTTAGTTTGTTTAACTCTTCATTAAATTAAAGATTCTGTTATTCTCTAATAATGTTTAAATACGTATTATTAGTATGCACGAAAATAGCAGGCATAAGTACATAAATACAGGTGACGTTTTTTATTTTATTTTTTTTAATTTTGTGTTTAGGCATAAAAAATAATAGTCAAGTAAAATATATTTTTTATTTATTTCTTTTTATATTTCAATAATTTCCGTTTTAAATATTACAAATATATTATCGTTTTTCTTTCAATTGTAATATCCGTAACATGAGATATAGTTATGAGTAAAGTTTCTTTTTGCTTAAGAATTTAGATGGTCCATGTTCACTTTATCCTCTTGCAAATTGGTTGTACTTAACTTCGCTATGACTCGTGAATTATTCGTTTGATTAAAAATTGTTTTTAACAAAAGTTCCTGCTAGGTTTTGTAGTGTGTTCTCGATCCTGTAAGTTGCTGGAGAGATGATATTTTGAAAGACTTGTTTTCAATATTTTCTATCTAATATGGTTTACCATTTATATAATAACTATTTAAAATAACACACGAGTAGTTAACAATAGTTGGGTAATCATAATTTAAATCATAAGATATGTTCTTGCTAGTTACTACAAAAATAAATATTAAATTTTATTACGTGAAAGACCTATAAAATTGCCCAGATAGCCTTTTTCGGTTTTCCTCTAATTGCATATAACCTCATCGTAAATTACCACAGAGTTACGTATGTTATTTAAACTTGTATTTAATTATAACTAGTTATTAACCCTCGCTTCACTCGAGTGCTTACATGTTATAGCGTAGCTACATTCTAATTATTAGATCTTTTTGAGGAAGAAGGAATAATTACGTACCGTTAGACATTGTTTTCATATAACTTTATTGGTTAACGCGAAATGACTTAAACCGTCAATTCTTGAATGTTTCAAAGACGATCGATCGAAAAATAAATTCATTTAAACCAAAAAATGGTAAAATACATATTTATTTTAGCCCGTGCAAACTTTATGCCAATTACTATTATAGATTAGACGTCTCGGTGGAGTAGGTACCGTTACTCCAGGGGTGTTGTATTTTGCACTGGGGCGGAATCCTCGATAGACGGAGTACCTTACCAATACTTATCTGATAGTAGAATGGACCAAGGCAACAACCCACTGGTTGTTGTAGTCTACCTCAGCAGGCCAGACCGGGAAGGTTCCATCGGGTTAAGGTAGTAGGTACTTTCTACTTTTTAATTGTTACTTTTTATGTCAGTATATTTCAGTATATTCTGTGTTATGAATTGTAGAGTTATGCATATTTTTTTCAAAAGACATCTGTTAGCGTATTGTTATGTAAATTATGTGCTGATTGGGAATCTGCCAATTCTATCAAAATTTAACTTTAGCATGTTAAAATATCCCAAAAAGTACCCAATAAACCATATATGTAGATGTACCTACATGGTAATTGATTATAATTTAAGTTAACATTATTTACTTACGTACGCAATTTTCCTTTCATATTAGAATAAGTCAGGTGATTGCCGATATCTAGATAACATTGAACTTCAAATTCCACTCGAGTTAAGACGAGTTTACTTAAGGCAATTTCGACATATCAATACTAATTGAAACATACAATCAAAGTGTAGTGTATCAACTATCTGGTATCAATAACACAAGCTTCGTAGCTTACCATGGAACTAGACGGTGCTGTGTGTTAATGTCCCAACATATTTATTTATTTACTGGCAGCACAGATGATATATCTATCTTTACTAGTACTGATTTTCTTTAAAATATAAAGCTTTTAACTGACTTGATTCGGGACATTTCTCGGGCAATTTTTTTCCGCCTCAGTTAATTCCGCCCTAGATGGCGCTCAAAGGAAATAGGCCAGAACTAGTCGTAGGTATATTATTTTATAAAAATATTTACAATATATAAATATAGTAAAAAGAAATTTGGGTGATCACTACCGGGATCAAAAACTTATCAAGCGTGAACAACGCCATGTCAAACTTAATATCTAATCGGCATTTGTGTAGTATAGACCTATAGAGGTACCTACATATTATAAAATTCTGATTCGAATCTGTACATTAATTATTTTTTGAAAAATCATTTTGAAATAGACACTATAATCGATACAGAGCCGGAATCTATAGTTTTTTAGAAGTTTTGTCTGTCTGTATGTGTGTCTGTTAAGGAACGCATTACGACAAAACCAATGGATAAATTTTGATGAAATTTGGTATAATGATAGCTGGGTATCCGGGTCGACATATGGGTTACTTTTTACTGTGATAAAATATCTCATCTCTGAGATGAGAGATGGTTAGTATAACCATTAAAACGTACCTTTAGAGACAACCCGAGTGGAGAGATGGTGAGTTTAATAAAATTAATGTTAAGAAAATAGGTTTATGCTAGTAATTCCGGTATAGGAATGAAGCTTTAAAGAAATACTCGGGCAAGTCGGCACGTTTCACCATTACTTTATATTTTAGTACTAATTACTACACACGACTATAGATTAATAAATTTTAGGTAAGGGCTAAGGCTCTAACAACATGGCTGGATCGATATTTATTGTACAGTCAATTAATTGATTTATAAATTACGGCATTCGTAACAACACAATCTCTCAATTACATCATTACATCGATTAGGCATTGTTTTATTTATCGGTTTAACTATGATAAATTTTAATTAATAAATTAAATATAAAAATAAAGCTACCTATTACTTTAATATTCTTAATACATAGTTTAATTTTCTTGGGGGTTTTAGCGGATTCGGTAAGCAGACGTTGCTTTTTCAGTGCGGATTGCTGAATATATTTTTATGTGAGAAATCTAAAACTATATACATAAAAAAAAATCAAAAACTTAAAAAAACCTAGATCTCGACAGCGCCATCTACCGAGTTCGATTAAAGCTACAATTCATCACGATGACCCCATAAATACGCACAAAAAATAATCAAAATCGGTCAAGCCGTTTGGAAAAGAATTACGAACACCGGAATTTCATCAAATAAACACTATGTATAAAATCAATTCGTTATTAAGTCATATTAAAAAGACTTACCCTTTGAGAGGCAACGTGCTATTAGGTATCTCCAATTCACTAGCGAGAGAAGCAAGTTGGAGTATCTGGAGATCAGCCTCACTCCTCACTGGCACTTCGTCGTATTCGAACCCGGGGTTATCCATTATTTAAGTAAAACAAAACACAGTTATATCAAAACGTAACTAACTATTAGCTCTGTGCACTTGTGTGTACGTCGTCTATTGATATGAAGATAGAATCATCGTCGATTCAGTATTAGCGGTCGAGTGGAAAAATGTATACATCAGGCGACGCACATTGTCACATTTAAAGTGGCCTCATTTATAAATGACCACTGACAATATATAGCTGTTTACGTTCTTATGTGTCTAATAGCATAGGTTTTTTACGGCAGTCCTCTCAATGTTTACAACAGAAGAAATTTAATTTGCCCAATAAAAATATTACTCTTGCATCATGAAATCTATAATATTTAATACATTTTTGGGGTAAATGAATAATTTTTGACACCTTTTTATCACCTTGTTCTTTAAATGACTAGCTGGGAGTAGATTTGAGCTACTTGTAATTGAATTATTAGAGAAAACTTGACGGCATTACCATTTAAATGCCATCGAGCCCAACTGATAATAGAGCTGACTAAGTTAATGTACCTAACTCTTCAATAGATACAAAAAAAATATAGAATTCGGTCTTATTTGTTTCGTTTTAAGAAGTTCTATACATTATTTTTGGTAACAGCTACTGGTACTTTAAAACTCTTAGTAAATAAAAGGCCAAAATTAGAGAAAGTTTTACTAAAATTATTATTATTGACATAGAACCCTGCTTAATAAAATTTACAATATATTTTGATCATTCAATACTAATTTACTCACAGTTAAACAAAACTGCTTGTTGTTGGCAAAGTCTGCAATGTACGGTAATTCTTACTCTGATTACTAAGTCACTGACTACACGGTTAATTAAGAATGATTTATATCATAATATATAAGTATATTTGAGAACAGCTAAAGACTATAGATTTCGTATATATATTTTAAACTAGCGGCTAATAAAAAGGGGAAAAACACTAATAGAGATCTATTAGTTCCCACGGGAACCGTTCATTTTTCCCGGATGAAAAGTAACCTGTTGTTTGACCGGCAAAGTATAAGGTATCAGAATGTTAAATATTACTAAATTAGGTGCATAAGTTATTATAGTTTTTGAACTATCCCACGGGAACTATTTAATTTTCCGGGATAAAAAGAATCTAAGATGTTGTCCGGGGATATAAGGTACGACCATGCAAAAATTCATTTAAATCGGTCCAATAGATTCGGAGATTAGCCCGTACAAACAGACAGACAGAGAAACAAAAAAATTGAAAAAAATCTGGATTTGTTCTATTTGTCTCTTTACATCCCCTGACTCGGTTTTTAGCATTTTTTTGCTATGTACAGACATTCGACCTCTACTGTTTTATTATATTATAGATTATAATTTTGTTTTAATATTCGACATTGTTCTACCATAATTATTGGATGCTCTTAGTTTTATACAAAACGTGTATTTATTTGATTTCTATGCACTTTTAGACCTATATTGACTTGTCGCATGTCTTGTATTTGCCATCTTTTTATTGCTAGTACGTCGACAATAGCGGGTTCGAGGTCCGTCAGAAGTAAAAGCGTATTACCAAAATGTTACCCATAGTACACGAACTGTTTTTATAGCAAGTTTTTTGAGTAGATAAATGTATTTTTGTCATTATACTAATTAATAAAAAATATATGTTATATCAATCTCGTCGTATAAATCAAATCACAAGTCTCATTTACTATAATATTACCAAATAATAGTCACATCTAAATTACCAATTTATACTAATACATTTTGAGCTGTATATTTGCACTGTACAATTGTCCGGCCAAGGTCTAATGCAATACAATCATTTATGTATATACTATCGATTCACCCTCGCTCCGGTCGGGTTCGTCCCTAGTTATGTTTTAACATTTAGTATAACATTTCTCAGATATGAGATATTTTCCCGCATTAAAAAGTATCCTATATGTTGACCCGGATAACCAGCTATCATCATACCGAATTTCATCAAAATCCGTCCAGTGGTTTCCTGGTGATGCGTTCCCAGACACACAGATCAAAATTCTAAAAACTATAGATTTGATATCTGTATCGATAATAATGATTACTTCAATAAGATTTTCCAAAAAATATTTAATGTACGGATTCGACTCAGTTAGAATTTTATTATATGTAGCTATAGATTTATTGTCTACATATAAATTTAATTAGAATATTTATTTATTGCACAGAGTTAGTGATGCGAATTTAATATGCGATAGTTTTATTTAAAAGAAAATAACTAACACAGTATAATTATTGTGCCATCTGCAGTAAAATGTATAAAGATCCCTTACTCCACTTTGTACTCCATCATCATGGTGGGTAGTGACCATTCAATCCTTGAAGGAATGGAAATTTCTCAAAGAGAAATTACACAAATGTATGTTACATAAAAAAAATATACATCCAGACGAATAAAGAACATTCTCCTTTTTGGAAGTCGGTTAATTAAAAACTATATTAAACTAAAACTGTAAGAAATATGAGTTCATAATTTAATACATAATTGTAAGAAACCGTGTTAAATCGCTATCAAAAAGAAATTCTGAAATATGCAAAATCTCCAATCAAGTATGACGCATCAGTAATCGATCATGAACGTTGTTTACGCGGTACGTACATGATTAAAATTTCATTTTTGTTATGTCAACATAATTTATACATCGTTTTAGTTATAGGCAAGCCAAACAGATAGTGATAGCCCTGGTGATGTTCTCGCTTGGGATTCCGAGTGAAGCGGGTTCAATTCCCGGGTCTCGCACCTCTGATATTTTCATGTGCGAATCGATTCCAACATAATAATCACTTGCTTCACGACGAAGGAAAACGTCGTGAGGAAACCTGCATATCTGAGAGAACTTAGCAAGTTCGAAAGACATATTAAGTCCGCCTACCCGCACGTGGACGTTAAAAGGGCTGAATACATACATACACATTTTAAGACCATCCGCGGGTGTTGTCTGGCTATCATCCACTTACACTCTACTATTAGCCTTTTGTTTAATTCACTAAAATTCTGTACGCAGTCTTTTTGCTATAATATATACTACGCATACGTTGATGAAAATTAATAATATGTCAAAAACTCCCGCGGGAGTGCACAAAACAACTCGCTAATCTATGTAATATATAATAAAATTCTAACTGAGTTGAATGTCTACATTAAATATTTTTGGGAAAATCTTATTGAAATAGTCATTATTATTGATACAGAGGTTGAATCTATAGTTTTTAGCATTTTTGTCTGTCTGTCTGTTTGTCTGTCTGTCTGGGAACGCATCACGAGTAAACCGCCAGACCGATTTTGATGAAACTTGGTACGATGATAGCTGGTTATCGGGGTCAACATATAGAATACTTATAGAAGTATACATATAGAATTTTTACTGCGGGAAAATAATTTCTCATCTCAAAGAAATCTCGGAGCGGAGCGAGGGTGAGTCGCTAGTATCTCGCATCGCATGAAAACATGAAGAGTAAAGGAACACGTGCATACATTACAAACAAACAAATTTATTTTTGTATATACAGACTTTTATATAGATACTTAAAATGAAAATTAATTTAGAATATAATAGTCCGATATCGAACAGTAATTCGCTTCACAGTATAATTTCAAGGTACAGATTAAGTCTTAATGTTTGGGGAAAATATTAGAACTGTAGTAGCCTTTGTTATAAGAGGTAAATCCGTTCACTACAACATGTTCTAAACAGCAATATTTATGCGTGTTTTATTGGAAATAGTCATTTCTATAAATATTTATATTGTGCTCTAAACAAGTACGCAGTAGCGAGGTGACGGGAATGGACGCGAGATGTTGTCTTTGATTTCTCAACGGTAAAGTTATATATTTAGGAGGTTATGTACCTACTATATATATATATACATATATATATATATATATATATATATATATATATATATATATATATATATATATATATATATATATATATAACTTTACCGTATACAATAAAACAACAACAAAAACTTAATAGTATTTTAAAATTAATGTTTAAAAAACAGACAAAATATTTACAAAAATATAAATAACTCGATTGCGTAAAATGCGAACTAAAAAGTTTGGATCAAGTTAAGTAACAAGGAAAATAGTATTTTTGTTTTTGGTATCTATGTAGATACCATGTACGTGTATGTACACATACCTACTCTTTGACACTCTCGTTATCAAGACGAATCTGACGACGTATAATAATAATAATTATTGTTGATTATTGGAACATAGAATCGGACATACATACATACAGGTCAAACACATAACCCTCCTATGGGCTTCGCCGCAGTCGGGTCATGGAATCGAAACGAATACATGAGCACTAAAACTGTAGCCACTGAAGAAATACTGTCCAACTCCCGTCTACATCATCGATCAGATTGATCAGATCGACTTGCATCAAATTACGAGTATTTATCTTAGTTCACAAACCTATACATAAATATTTACAAAATTTCAAATTGGTACGTAACGCCCTTTAAAGTGAGTCGATTTTCAAGATTTCGTCTCAAAACTTAGTTGAATGTGTCATTCAATAAGGAAAAAAACCGTACATATCGTGCCTCTTAATCTCCAAAATGACTAAACTGATTTTAATGTGAATCAATTTTTATAGCAAAAATCATAGAGATAGAATTATTTTAGTAGTGACTACGTACGTTTTAACGGTTAGGTTAGATTCTCAGAGATGAGATATTTTCCCGCAGTAAAAAGTATCCTATATCCTATATGTTGTCCCGGATAACCAGCTATCATCATACCAAATTTCATCAAAATCTGTCCAGTGGTTTTCTCGTGATGCATTCGCAGGCAGACAGACAGACAAAAATTCTAAAAACTATAGATTCAGCCGCTGTATAGATAATAATGACTATTTCGATAACATTTCCAAAAAAAAAAATATATATAATGTACAAATTCGACTCGGTAAGAATTTAACATGTAGAAGATCGAAAGTCGAGACAAAGCGAGTGCGGGTCGCTAGTGTCTATT